AATAATAATATGGTCGGTACGAGTGAATTCACTTGATATTAAGTTGGTGAACACTCATATATATTTTCGATTACGAAGAAAATGCGCCTGAGTTATCTATCTGAGGACTATGATGTCTCGTTACTCGTTTTACGAATCTTCGCTCCTCGACCATTCACTAAACAAAATTTTTGATTGAGCATCATATCCCGTTCGTCCCGACCCGTTCATTATATCATGTATTCTGAAAAAAAAAAGTCTATGATTGAAAAATATCTGAACAGTAAAGGGTCTTTGCATTCTCTTTTATATTAAATTATATAAAAAGGAATGTAAAGACCCTTCATACATAAATTTTAATAACTTTCAATTGGCCGTGTTTATATAATAATGAAATCTACTGTATAAACAGTCCACCGCTGAAAGTAAGTCTCTATTATTATCATATCAGATGTATTTCACTCTTGATCCTCATCGTCGATCTGGATATGGTATACTTATTAAGTAAGTCGTAAGTTTTATTTCAGTTTTATTTGAAACGAGGCATTACATATTAGTCCTCAGGGGTGACAACGCATATGCGTTTTGATTCCTAATCGAGGATAAATGTAGATATCTATGGACCACAGCATCTACTTACCTTCAGGTGGATTGTGTACTCGTTTGTCACCCTTATTGTATAAAAAAGTATGTCTTAATGTATATAAATTACGTGTCACATTGTTTGTCCGCGATGAACTCCTAAACTACTGAACTGATTTCAATGAAATTTTGTGTAAGTATATTTCTTGCTCGAATTTGATAGATATGATAGTTTTTATCCCAATAAGTGACCTGTAAGGATTTTTTGAAGGACCAAAGGTCGTCTGAAAGGGCAAAAGAAAGTCTGCCAGCTAGTATAATGTATATATTATAACGAGAATGCACAGTGATATGAAATGAGCGCTGCCGATGTAGCTAAAACGCAATTAAAATGTAAGTCACTGTTATAACGCATTAAAGACGATAAGGGCGTTTCACTAAGTTGCCTCTAACGGACCCCACGGGACGAGACAAGATGAAGGATTCTCTTGCGCCGTCGCTACACGTGTGCATATATTACTGTTTATTTCAATCTTTATATATTATTTACTGGGTGATTTTTTAACCATCTGGTAAAAATAGGGTTAAGAGTGTAGAGGTACAGGTGAACGGAATAAGAAGCCTATGGAACTGATATTTTACATTTTTTATTTCACATTAACAAATATTAAATTGATATATCAGTAAATACTACTAATTGGGTACGTATTATTTTAATTTCGATAGTTTTTAATTGATTTATTTATTTAGTTCAAAAATTTTGTTGTTGTTTTTTACCGAAAGTTTATTTCAAATTAGTAGTATTTATTGATAGATCAATTTCATAATAATTTAATGTAAAATTTAAAAAAATGTAAAATATCGGTGCTGTAGGCTTCTATTCCGTTCACCTGTTACACCCTATTTTTTTCGAGACGTTAAAAAAATCATCCTGTATATAATTCCTCTGTACGTGTGTTTGTCACTGAACTTCTCAGTGGCTGGACCGATTTTGGTGAATATTTTTGTGTGTTTTAGTGTGTTCAAGTATGGTTTAGATTAACAATTGGACCCGGTCGCCGGCGCTGATGTCGATTTCCAGAAATCACCCACGCGGAACCGGGGCGTATCGCTAGTATACAATAAACACACTTTTTATCGAGATTTAACACATTGATGATCTTTACTTATTCTTTTTAAAATAAGATCGCGAATACTTTGATTATGGTAGACATGTGTACAATCAAAGCGAGAATAGTATGACAAAATTTTGTAAGCCGTTATTGTACTGTATTTATTTCTTACGTAACTTCTCCTTTAGCCATCTATGATTGTCAGAGTCACAATAAATCAGTCAAATGAATGTGTCCTGATCCCAGTAACATTGACATTGAGAGCGATCCCGCCCACGCTCCGACCCAGTTTCAATCGCTTAAGGGGACGTTTTAGTGTCGATCAATCGTCTCCCGCGGGAAATTGTCAATGGACCACCGACTTATTCTACTTCTTCACATTGGTTTGTTCGACAATTCTCTTGAGTAGCCCAGGTTGTTTGTTCGACATGTTTATTTAGGATCAGTACGTGATTGTTTCTGTTGTTACTTAACTTTGATTAATTGTTTTTTTTTATAGGATAGGGTGACAAACGAGCACACAGTCCACCTGATGGTAAGTAGTTGTGTGGCCCATAGACATTACTCTCCTCGATAGAATCATGCGATTTAGGGATGAATGCCTCGTTTCCAGTAAGGTCTCCTTCATACGAAATACAGCAGCATTAAGCTACTATTTCACGCTGGTATTCTGTGAGAGCGTGGTCCTTCCACGGTCGAGCCGACCCATTCGTGTTACAACTATACTACTAATATAACTGCAGCATGGCTCTACCATATTTGCATGTTGCAAGCTTGTGGCCGTAGTAGGAAAAGGGGAGATCTCCCGCCGGGCAAGGTGTTCTGCCCGGGGAGCGGCCAACACTCCGTGTGATAGCTCGGAGATGTTCTATATATGCTGTTTATGATTCGGAATGTTGATAGCGTGATTTAGGCTTCGGTGTGTTTCGCTTGCGGCGCGACGACAGCGCCGCTACATCACCCCCCTGCTCAGACCGGAGGTCGATAGTGCAGTCTCGTTGCCGACCAATGTGCAAGTGCCAGGAGATTGCCTTGTGGTCTGCGGTGAGTCGAGAAGAAGGCAAGTAATCTGCGAGAGTGCCGTGAAGCAGAGGGACCAGTAAGGCGAGCCGTGCCGAACACTGTATAGCGCAGAGAGTAGCTTGAATGAACAGGAAGCATTATTATTCTAGTGCTGCGATGAACCTTGTGAAGCTAGCTGGCTTGCAGGATATGAAGACTGCAGATGATATCTGCTCGGGAGCGAATGGGTGGGGTATTCAATGACGATGATGAAGCTTGAAGTTTCCGAAGGTTGTTGGTTGCGTGTTCAGATCACGTCGGGGTCACCACTGTGGCCGTAGAAGGAAAAGGGGAGATCTCCCGCCGGGCAAGGTGTTCTGCCCGGGGAGCGGCCGACACTCCGTGTGATAGCTCGGAGATGTTCTATATATGCTGTTTATGATTCGGAATGTTGATAGCGTGATTTAGGCTTCGGTGTGTTTCGCTTGCGGCGCGACGACAGCGCCGCAACAAGCTTAAAATGTATATAATACGTTTTTAATAAAAATATAATAGTGCTTGTATGCAGGTATGGAATACTGTTCTCATCTCTGGGCCGGGGCACCCCAGTACCAGCTCCTTCCGCTTGACTGCATCCAGCGCAGAGCGATTCGAATCGTCGACGACGGAGTTCTTACCGATCGGCTCCAATCGCTAGCGCTGCGTAGGGATGTTGCATCCCTTTGCGTTTTCTATCGTATCTAACACGGGGATTGTTCTGAGAAATTGGTCTAATTCAATTAGTTCCAGCCGCCAAATTTCACGAACGCACATCGCGTCAAAATTCACTATACCATCCTCATCATCTAGGTGCTTGGCTGTCCACCACTGTTAGTTTTACTAGGAGTTTCTTCTTCGTACAACTTCTATGTGGAATTGTTTACCACCGGCGATTTATCCGGATCGATACGACTTAGCTACCTTCAAGAAAAGAGTTCACTCCTTTGTAAAAGGCCGGCAACGCACCTGCAATTTCCCTGGTGTTGCGGTTGTTCACGGGCGGTAGTGGTCACTTACCATATGGTGAGCTGCATGCTCGTTTGCCCCCTCTTCTATAAAAAAGGTGAAAAATCAAAGCTACATCCAATCGGACGGAAAGACTGATGTTGGTAAATTATTTCACTCCTTTTCTGTTCGTATTATTCTTTTGGATAAAAATATGTTCAGCGTAATATACATATTCTAGATAAATTTAGACAGTAAAACATTATCTCAGTACAAAAATCTCATTCAAATCTTTAGAACCATTTTCTAGAAACCAATTACAAATATACAAAAATTGTTCATTTTTACACTACTAACTACTAAAAATTACTCATTTTTATACTACGATGTCTGCTTTTGAAGTTTAAATTTAATTCCACTATCACACTAACAAACATTCGCTGAGTCTCTACCCCTTTAGGTATTGTTGACATACCTTGCATTCGGATCCAACGGTATTCTTCGTCTTTCGTAATGCATACAACAATGGAGAATAATAATTCGCCAGCATCTGGTTTCTGATGATGTTAATGCTGTTAGCTTTTTGGCTTTAGCAGCTTCATAGGTCTCAAGGCCCGCGTCCTGAAAGGCTGCAGGCTAAAAACTTGCCAGCGTCTATCATTCAATTCTATTACAAAGAGTGATTGGGTTAGAATTAAGCTAAGTCAGTTTGTTTTGTCATCTTAGGCTACATCATCACTTGCCATCAGGTGGGAAAGCTTTGACTGCCTCGTTCGTCTAGTCGTAATTTTTTTATCAAGAAATTCTCAGTATCAGCCAGTCTGGAAGTTCCCGTTGTTCTTGGCCCTGCGCCTGATCTCTAGCCGGTCGTGTCGGGTTAACGTCCCATCGGACTATGTGAGTGAAGGAATATAGAGTTCACCTGTGCTTGTGCACACACTCGTACACTATAATCTTATCCTGAACAAATGGTTAGTCTGGAACTGGCCTCGTGACCGAAATTTGTACTGAAAGACATTTTTATAATATAGGTTAAAAAAACCTAGGTAAACAAAAACTAAATACATATTATGCAGGCAACTACTATCGTAAATAGATCATGAAATTAGATTTTATTTAAAAAAAAATCGACACTAATTTAGAATGGACGCATTGGTATTTAATTTCCAACAATTTCTCCGTTATTTAAGTTATGGTATAATATGTGGCCCCTGTATGCGTATGTTTTAATGTGTAGCGACGGCCTTGAATGAGCTCTCACGGGAGAGACTATGATAATTTAAGGGTTCAAGTAAAGTTTGCATAATCGAAATCTTATGAAAAATATTTCATTGTCGACAGGGTCGTCCAGAAAAACCTTTGCCAGCACTTGCGGCCCGGCCGCCGCCGCCAGCGGCGATAGTACCCCGCACAGCTGACGGTCCCCGCCCACCCGGCTGGAACGGCCAGCCACGCCGGCCTGGATCCAGCCGCTTCAATGTGCAACATCACAATCAGGAGTTGGTTAAATTACCTCCCATTAAAGGTGAGTTTTTCAATGTGATATTAGATAGTTTTGTGATTTCGATAAACACTTGTACCTACTTGATTAAAACTCTTTTACGGTGTTTTTTTTTTTTGCGGTTTTTTAATTATTGTTTATGGTCCGATTTGCAAAATGAACTGACTATGGCCTGAGGTCTTGCAGTGGTATGTGGGTTTAGTTTTAATTTTTTATGGATCCCGAGTGTAGTTGGGAATGTAGTGTGTGTATTGAATTGTACCTACTTGTTTCACAATATTTTTTTTAAATAATATATTAAGTATCTTTCGTATATTAAGTATCTCATAATACAAGTATTGATATACTTAAAAGGAGATACTAGCTTAGTGAATGTAATAATGTGCAAGCCTAGTAAAATTTAATTTTAAGATACTGAATAAAAAAAATTGTATTTTTGAATTTATAACAACAGACTTTAAGAAACGGGTACAAGTGTTTATCCAAATCACAAAAGTATTAAACACCAAGAATTTTTTCCACGGACTAATTTGCTAGAATTTGAACTATTATATGCATATATTTGCGTATATTATTGGTAGACATTAGTCCCGATCTTGATCTTTACTCATGAAGGTGAGATATTCAGTTCCATCTGTAAAGAAAATGAGAGAAACTAATAAATTCTGTTCTACGGGATTAGCCATGTTAAGTCAACACAACTGCAATCGTAAACGGAAATATAAAAATAAATGGGAATGACATAATATCTAAACGTGCCAGGTTCTCTACACTCACCACACGAAACGCAGCATTATGCTGCTATTTTCCGCTGATAATGGGTGCGTTCGGCAGAAAAAAGCGCTAGCAAGCGCTTGTAAGCAAAATGGCGATGGTAATCGGTAAGCGCTGTCAAATCGTAAGTAGCTATTTTCCTCCAGGACACGATGTTAGTTTTAACCGGAGAACCTAACCTAATTTAAATATATGTTTGTAAAGTATTCATATTAAAAACTTACCAATCATGAATTTTTAATAACATGTATATGTCTATTCATGTCATTATATTACTTAAAACTAATATTGCAAAAAACAACTTATAAACTCTACTTCAAAACAAACAAATTAAATAAGCAAAATGGCGGATTGTGTCAGCGCTACTGAAGTAGCAATCGTGTCCTGGCCGAAAACTATTTTAGCGCTTATAAGCGCTTGCTAGCGCTTTTTTCTGCCAAACGCACCCAATGTGTGCATGGTCCTACCTCGGTCTAGCCGACACATTCCTGCTACAGCTGTAGCAGTGCGCTACCACGTATTTTTCTATTGGTGATTTCTATAATTCAATTTGATTATCTCCACATATAAAAAAGTTTCGAATGTTTAAAAACCCTATTTCTGTTTTTAGAAGCTATGCAACTATCTATTTTTATTTCTGTTCACTCATTAAATTCAATATATTACATGCGTTTCATTTTTTTTAAAGTGTTTGTATCAATATGCACTACATAAAATTTTACTATCTCAGCAGGTTCTATTAAGAGCGTAACCAGGCTTCACAAATTTCTGTATATTTTACCATAACTGGTTACGATTATAATTTTAATTCTCTAATTACATAATTACTGTAATTATCTTTAAGATTACGCTATCACCATTAAGTATGTATTTTAGGAAGCCATGAAAGTAAAAGTAAAATCTATGATAATAAAGTCGTGGCGTAGCTTAGAGGCTAAGCGCTCGCTTTACATTTTACGGTACGCGAGCAACGCGGGTTCGATCTCCGCCGGCACCAACGAATTTGTTAATTGCAATTTTACTAGTCATGCTTTTTAAGTTTTGTCGTTCGACCAAAAAAATACAACTTGAACCTTATAGTACTTTTTATTGTTTTTCAAAAAGTATTCACCACGTACTTTAATACACTTTTCTGTTCGCTCGAACCGGTTATTAAAACATTTATTCCACTCCAAAGTGAAGGTGTTCAATATGGCTGTTTGAAAGCGTCGACTGCTACTTCACCAGACTGGAACCTGTGACTACGAAAATTTTTCTTAATTTTAGGAAATGTAAGGAAATCGTTAGGGCTTGTATGAATGATGATCAAGAATTTCTTCGTTTTCCTTCTTCAAATACTCAATCGTTTGACCAGCGCTGTGTGAGTTTGCGTTATCATGGTGTAGGATGATGAAGTTCGGCGATGTCTTGTGGTAAAGAAACTGTGGTTATACCACGCTGCATTAACCGTTCTACGATCTTCAAGTGCAATCGTCGCAACATGGCCGGGTTTTCGCAAAACGACAGAACTTAAAAAGCATGCATCGTATGTGCTGATTTACCACCTGCTGTTGCTGCTGTTGAAGGAAAACGTGAGGAAATCTGCATGTCTAAGATATAATTTATTTTAAGGAAGCCCTTTAACTGTTGAAAAGGACCAGGTCGGTGTCCCTCTTGATCCTGAAAAGGACCAATTGAAAAGGACCTAGCGGATCGGGTACTAAGAAACAGGAATCGAGGCTTCTCTCGATCCGGCCTCCTATCACGCCTACGTTGGGTTCGGGAACAACGTATGTGATCTCCGCAACGGAGTAACACACTAGGGCGATAACCTCTTCCTTTTCAGCAAGTAGGTTCAGACGGGGATTACGGGTCTTCCGAAGTCGTCCCGGTCCCGACGCCTTAATTCTTCGATGTGGACTGTATAACTTAAAGGATCTTGGGAATGAAACAGCAATTATCTTCAAACCGTTCCGTGAGAGAGTAATCACTTTTCCCTATACTGCTGGTTTTTCACTTTTCTTGAACTTTTTCCCGGATTTTCTTATTTATTTCCGAACTATTTCCTTGAATATTTCCCGAACGATTCCCGAACGATTTCCTTGAATATTTCCCGAACCATTCCCGAACGAATTGCAATAAAATCAATTTACTATCCTACCCCTAAGCTAAACGCGAAAGTGAGCCGCGCCATCTGCGCGCTTGCGCAACTTAATTACATGAATTTGTACTATTACTCTCTCACGTTTCACTCAATATCTTTATTTATTCAAATCATATACAAATACAATTTATCAATATAGGTAGTACAAAACAATATCTACACCATGATATACATCATATCTTCATATCATAAAAAACCTTTTATTTATTAAACGAAAACTGCCTATTTTACTCACAAGTTCGAAATCGAAATTTCTTAAATATTTAACACAGAAAGTTAAAACAATGTTTCTCACTTGAATTTATACATAAGCTAACCAATACAATAGTTTAATTTACATTTTTTCTATTTATTTCACTATTTAAAACACTTTTAAATTTCTTATACAAAACTATCATTATTTCACTTATACACAGGAATTTTCACATGAAAATAACACAGAATTTACCTTTTTTAGCACGTACAATTAACCTGAAATATTTTACAAGTAATTTTTACATAAATCACTGAATTACAAACATTTTAAATTTTTACATATTCGGCCTCCTAAGGGCGTGGCCAGCGTGCTTCCGTGTACTCACGCTATGTGAACAACTAACTTTGCACGGCTCTCGGCTATCAGAAAAAATTAAATTATGAAATACACCAATTTTGACCACATTAGGCAAATTAAATGCTTTTATACAATTTTCGAACTGTATGAAACTATCTTTAATCAGATAACAATATAAATGAATGTTCTCATTAATCAATCATAACAAATAGGCATTTGTTTTCGTACAAAACGTATCAAACTTATACAAAACAACATTTATGCAATTAATATCCATTAATTCTGCCTATGCACAGAGTGATTATCTCGACCGGGGAACAAATCCGATCTTTAACTTCACTTTAATATTCTTTACGAATTTATTAAGCGATATTACTTAGGAAAACAAACAAACTAGTCCGGCCTGGGAGTCGAACCCAAGACCTTCATATCATTAATTCGACATTTCTTAAAGATTTAACTAAGCATTCTCTTATCAGAGCGTCGTTGCTCGTGACTACCCCTTTTTTCATAGCAACGTCATCGGTTGATTTAATAAACTGAAACATTTTTATAGGCGCGTCGCCAACAATCTCCCCCCCGTGCGTTAGCACCATCATTTGGGAGGCGTCGCGGGTACCAGGACTATTATTCTGGATGTAGGTCTCCTCAAGATACCTGTGCTAGTAATGACGTCAACCACTCTGGTGTGACCGTCTGGTCCCGGTAACGTTCTACTAATTTTACCTTTTGGCCACGTATTTCGTGGCAACGAATGATCTATTATCAAAACAATATCGCCTTCTTTAGGTTCCATGAACTTGCCGTTATCACCTGTTCGAGGTATTAACGTAGGCATGTATTCTTTCAGCCATCTTGTCCAAAAATGGTCGGCTAACCTCTGTGCAGCTTTCCAATTGAGTTGACCCGTCAGATGTCGCTCTAAAAATAATCCAGGTGGTCGATCACCACATGAGCGTCCCAGAAGAAAATGATTGGGTGTCAAACCCTCTTCAGGACTATCCATACTGAATGTTACCAGAGGTCTGGAATTTACCGTATGCTCTGCTTCTAAAAGTAACGTATGTAGAACCTCCTCTCGTGGGCTCTTCTCCTTAAGCGTAGCGGTCAACGCAATTTTAATCGATCTTACTAACCTCTCCCAGGCGCCACCCATGTGCGGTGCTCCCGGAGGTATAAATTTCCATTTAATATATTTCTTAAATGACTCGTTTTTCATGCCCTCATAGCATTCTTCGCATGCTTTCAATAATTCTTTATTTGCAGCTTTGAAATTTGTCCCGTTATCGCTGTATATAACGGCTGGTTTTCCTCTTCTGGCGATAAATCGCCTTAACGCCATTATCATTGACGCTGGTGTCAATGAGGCTGCTAATTCCAGATGTACTGCTCTGGTGGTCAGACACGTGAATAAAACGCCCCAACGTTTTTCGTGTCGCCTTCCTATAGTCACACTCATAGGACCAAAATAATCTACAGCTGAGCATGTAAAAGGTGGCTCATGATGAGCTATTCTTTCCAGAGGAATATTTCCTTGTGGCACGTTTTGCGGCTTTGACCTGTATGTCCTGCACCACTGACAATGGTGTGACACACTTCGTACTACATTACGCAAGTTCGAGACGTAAAATTTCTGGTTCACCTCATTCATCACCGTCTGGTGATTGGCGTGTCCAAAATGATGATGAACTTCTCTAATCATCATTTTAACGATTTCGTGTTTACCGTCTAATATGACAGGTTTTCTACTTTCCTCGGTCAAATTAGACTTGAAAGGTAAACGTCCATTTAAACGGAGTAAGTTATCCTCTCCTATTTCCATAGACAATCTACTTAAGCGTGAACTTCTTTCAACGCTTTTGCCTGCTTTCAAACATTTTATTTCCGAATGAAAACACTCGTCTTGAATGAATTTCCAAATTAATATTTCCGCCTTTTTCAAGAGCGCTGTGTCCAACGCGCTATCGGGTCCTTTAACCGACTTTGCTAAAACTTTGTTGGAACACATAACCGACTTTTCGGTTGCGTCGTCGGGTCCTTTAACCGACTTTCTTAAACTCTTGAATTTTTCTACCGCTTGTAAGGTGCGTGTAGTTGCTCCAAGGAATTTCTTAAAGCTGCTAAATCGTCCGTAGTCGGGTAG